ACCTTGGCCTGCTGTGTTCATCCAGCTCTACACCTTGTTATCTCAGATTCTCCAGCATCTGCAGTTCCTACTATCTCTGAAATAATGTTCTGGGGACCTGGGTTTGAATTTGGGTGGAACTTGAATACAATAAAAATATCTGGAATTAAGAAACTGCTGATGATCACAAAACTATTCTCAATTGTCAGAAAAAAAAATATTTTGCTCACTACTGTCTTTCAGGAAAGGAAATCTGTTGCCCTCATCTGGTCGGGCCCACATCTAATTCCAGACCCACAGTAACACGGTTGACTCTCAACTGCCCTCTAAAATGGCCTAGCGAGCCACTAATTTGTACCAGTCACTGCAAAGTCTCAATGAAAAATTGAAACCAGACGGACTACTTGGCACTGGAAATGACAGTGGCAGAAACAGCCATGTCCATCCTGCAAAGTCCTCCTTACTAACATCTTGGCGCTATTGCCAAAACTGGGATAGCTGTCTCACAGACTACTCAAGCGACAGCTTACATAGTCATACTAAAGGAATCATACTTGACAGACAATTTTTATAGATGCACCATAGAAAACATCCTATCTGGATGCATCACAGCTTGGTATGGCAACTGCTCTGCCGAAGACTGCAAGAAACTTGATAGAGAGAGTTGTGAACACAGCCCAGTCCATCACAGAAACCAGCCTTCCATCCATTAACTCCATCTATACTTCTCACTGCCTCGGGAAAACAACCAACATAATCAAAGACCCCTCCAACACCAGTTATACTCTCTTCCACCCTCTTCCATAAGTTAGAAGATACAAAAGCTGGAATACACATACGAATGGATTCACGATCAGCTTCTTCCCTGCTGTTATTAGACTTTTGGACGGACCTCTCAAAATGTTACTTCTGATCTCTCTCTGTACCTTCCCTGCAGCTGTAACACTGTATTCTGTACTGATCTGCTACCCTAATGCACTTTGTAAGGTATGATCTGCCTGCATAGCACACAAAACAACAACTTTCACTGTACTTCAGTACATGTTACAACAATAAATCAAACTCACACTCAATGTCCCAGCTACCGCCATCATCATCCCTGGATATGTCCTGTCACGGCGGCAGAACAAACCCAGCAGAGGTGACGGCACAGTGGTGTACAGTTGGGAGGGAGTTGCCAAAAGGGTCCTCAACATTGACTACGGACCCCATGAAGTCTCATGGCTTCAGGCTAAACATGGTCAAGGAAATCTCCTGCTGATTGATACGTATCATCCTCCCTTGGTTGATGAATCAGTACTCTTCCATGTTGAATAATACTTGGAGGAAGCACTCAGGATGTAAAGATTACAAAATGGGATTTCAATGTCCACCACCAAGAGTGGCTGAGAGTAGCATTATTGATCGAGCTAGTTGGGTCCTAAAGGACATAGCTGCTGTATTGTGTCTGTGGCAGGTGGTGAGGGGACCAAGAAGAGGGAATAAGATACTTGACCTCACCTTTACCAATCTGCCATCTGTGGATGCATCTGTTCACAATAGTATCGTAAGAGTGACATGTGGAAACAAAGTCCTGGCTTCACATTGAGAATACCCTCCATCATGTTATTTATGACTTTCATTGTGCTAAATGGGACAGACTTTGAACACATCTTCTTACTCAAGACTGGGCAACAACCATGAGGCGCCATGGGCCATCAACAGCTGCAGAATTGTAGTCCAGCACAATTTGCAACCTCATGACCTGGCATATTCTACACTCAACCATTACCATCAAGCCAGGGGATCAATCCTTGTTCAGTGGACAGTGCAGAAGCATATGCCAGGTGCAGTACCAAGCATGCCTAAAAATAAGGTGTCAACCTGGTGAAGCAATCAAACAGCAAAAGCAGCAAGTGATAGACACAGCTAAGCGATCCCAAAACCAACGGATCAGATCTAAGCTCTGCAGTCCTGCAACAACCAGATGTGAAGGATGGTGGACAATTAAACAATTGACTGGAAGAGAAGGCTCCACAAATAGCTCCATCCTTGACAATGGGAGGGCCCAGCACATCAGCGCAAAAGATAAGGCTGAAGCATTCATGCAATCTTCAGACAGAAGTGCCAAGTGGACGATCCATCTTGGCCTCCTCCAGTATTCCCTCACAGATGCCAGTTTTTAGCCAATTCATTCCATGTGATATCAAGAAACAGTTGGAGGACATGACCAATACTCACTCATCTCAATCCACATGGACAAGGAGAACCACGACTTCGACTGGGACAACACCAAGATCCTGGGACAGGCTAGGCAGAGACAAGCACGAGAATTCATGGAAGCATGGCACTCCACGAAGCAGGCTATTAATAAACACATTGAACTCAACTCCATATACATTCCACTACGGAGGAAACCCGGAAGTGAGGCAATCCATCGCAATGGACCCCAGAGTTTAAAAACCAGGCGGGAAAACACACCGACGCTTCATCGGAGGCTGCACTGAGGATGTTACCAAGCATGGTAATGAAACGTCTGTGGAACAACAAACCAGCTCGGCGAGCCAACCAACAGTTGGAGGTACTCGATACTGCAAAAGTTATGAGACCTGACAACATTCTGTCAATAGTGCTGAATACTTGTGCTCCTCTTTGATAAGCTCTTCCAGCATAGTTACAACACTGGCCTCTACCTGCCAATGTGGAAATTTTCCCAGGTATGTCCTGTATACAAACATCCAACCTGGCCAATTACCAAGCCATCAGTCGACTCTCGATCATCAGTAAAACGATGGAAGGTACCATCAACAGGACTATCAAGCAGCATCTACTCATTGACACCCAGTTTGGGTTCTGCTAGGGCCACTCAGCTCCTAACCTCATTACAGCCTTGGTTCAAACACTGAGAAAAAAGCTGAATTCCAGAGGTGGGGTGACAGTTATAGCCCTTGCCAACAAGGCTGCATTCAACTGAATGTGGCACCAGGGAGTCCTAGCAAAGTTAGAATCTATGGGTATTGGGGCAAACTTTCTGCTGGTTGGAGTCATACCTGATACAAAGGAAGGTGGTTGTGGTTGCTGGAGGTCAGTCATCTCAGCTCCAGGACATCTCTGCAGGAATACCTCTGGGTAATCTCCTAGGCCCAGCGATGTTCAGGTGCTTTATCAAGAACCTTCCCTCCATGATAAGGTCAGAAGTGAGGATGTTCGCCAATAACTTGACAATATTCAGCACCATTTGCAACACCTCAGATACTGAAGCAGTCCATGTTCAAATGCATCAAGATCTGGACAATATCCATGTGTAGGCTGACAATTGGCAAGTAACATTCGCAGCACATAAATGCCTGGCAATAACCATCTCCGATAGGGGACAATCTAATCACTGCCCCTTGACATCCAATGGCATTACTATAATTGAATCCCCCACTAACACCATCTTTGGAATTACCAGTGACCAGAAATTCAATTGGCTACAACAGTATGTCACAGGCTAGGAATACTGCGGCGAGTAACTCACCAAAACCTATCTATCATCTACAAGGTACAAGTCAGGAGTTTGATGGAATCCACTTGCCTGGATGGGTGTAGCTCCAACAACACTCAAGAAGCTTTACGCCATCCAGGACAAAACAATCTCCTTGACTGGTACCACATTCACAAGCATCATTCCCTCCACTACCAACGCTCAGTAACACCAATTCGTTGTATTTATAAGATGCACTGCAGAATTCACCAAGGATCGTCAGACAGCACATTCCAAACCCATGACCACTTCCATCTAGAGGACAAGGGGACAAGGGAAGCAGATATATGGGAATACCACCCCCTGCAGGTTCCCCTCTAAGACACTGGCCATCCTGACCCCTGCCATTCCTTTACTGTCACTGGATCAAAATCCTGGAATTCCCTCCCTCAGGGCATTGTGGACTGCAGCAGTTCAAGAAGGCAGCTCACCACCACTTTCTCAAGGGAAACTAGGGACAGGCAATAAATGCTCAGCAGCTCATGATACTCATCTCCCATGAGTAAGTTTAAAAAATCGCATCTTAGACATACATCAAGAAAAACCATATACTACAGATTCTTTTCTATAGTTAACAGTCATGGAATTTCAGAAGTAATCGTATTTGAAAACACTATGCAACAGCTAATGGTGTTGTTAGTTAGCAAATCCAAACCTTTGATAGGGATTCTGGGTGGAATAGGAGGGGCCTCTGATACTGGGGAGAAAGGCTGAGATTCTGTACTTCGCGACTGATTGGTCAATCCACAGGGCTGTTCACGTCGGTGCTCTCGTGATATGCAGGGAGAGTCTTTGCTGATAGCCACTGTATTAGGCTTGTCCATGCTTAGCGACTGTTTGCTAGCTGGTTGGTAACAGCTGTATGGCCTAAGAGAACGTTCCCTTTTAATAGGTCCCTGCTTTTTGAACAGAAAAACAGAAATCTTACACAAAATTGCCAATTACTTTGTGAATAAAATAAGATTGAAAGTAATAAAATATTTTCAGAGGGAAGGTAACGGATGTTAGCCTGAGGTACTAGATAAGGGATTCCAGGGAGGTGAGGAACAGAATAACCTGCTCTTAATATTTTGGTCAATCTATGTAAATGGACACCAAAAACATCAATTAATGATACATTATTACGTCTTAGCCAGACTACATAATGCAGTATCTACATAATGCAATACAAATAAAGCTAGCCCAATGGTAACCATGTCATAAAGACCCATCCGGTTAACTAGCGTCCTTTAGCGAAGGAAATATGGCACCCTTACCTGGTTCAGCCTACATGTGACTCCGGACCCACAGCAATGTGGTTAATTCTTAACTACCCTCAGAACAATTACAGATGGGCAATAAATAGCTTCAATGCGCACATTCCGTGAACAAATAAAGAAAAACTATATGCATGCAGATGGAGCAAGTTGCCTTGCTTCTAAATTGATCTCCAGTAACTTTGCAATATTCTCACTAAACGTTTGTCAGGTAGATTTAGATTTTGTGCATTAATATTAAATAGATGACAGCAAATTGGCAGCTCATTTTACGGCTTTCCTGATTGTAATTTCAATTGACTTTGGATTGATGATCACCTGTTTGACACCATCATACAAAGTAAAAACCTACTGTGCTATCATTAGAAGTCAGGAATGTTGTCTTTGCAAACATTTTTTAATGGATGTAGGTGTAGTTCTTTGCAGAGGTCCTGGAAGGGCTACTATCGCTACTACGGATTGCTACTATCAGTTGACGAAAGACACTGTCATCTGATTACGATGTAGTAGATTTCTAAAAGGTAATTTTAACTCAGAGTGGAAATTGCAACTGTGGGGCTAGAGCAGAAGATGAAACATTTGGCTGCCCTTAATACGAGGCTTGTGAGACCTTCAACTCTAGGTGTCATTTGCATGTCCACACTCTGACTCCTGCCTATGACGACATGAATAATGTCATAATTGGGAGCAATGTCAAAATTGGTATGGAATCAGGTTGCCACCAAGAGTCCACCGTTATACTCTTAATAACAGCAGATTGGGGGTGAAGGAGTGGAAGGGATGGAAGATGCCTAACATCTCTCTTGGGGCTAGAGCAGCTGGCTAAGTATACAATGAATCTTTATGTTTTGTTAAACAGTCATTTACTTTGGCATGGCTTATTTCTGCTGCCAGCATATTCTGGAAAGTCAGAAATTGTACAAATTATATTTCAACAGCATGGTTAAAACAGGGTCTGCATCGTTAGACTGCTTTAAGGAAATGACAGTGTCATTTAAAAGAGGTTTCTGCTTCTTTGGGGTGGGCAGTCTTTACTGTCTGAATTCAGGTATTACAATACGGAGTGAGAGACAGTGTTGAGGGGACGTGTGGACTATGGACTGAGGTTCTACCTGTCCCCAGTATTGTGAAGATTGGGACAGGCCTCGCTGCCGCAGAACGCTCCATATCACCTATCATTCGTCGAGAAATTTGCCAAGACCACCAGTCCATCAGGAAGTGGTCAGCACACAGTGTCCTTGAGACCCTGAGGGAAAAGGAGAGGGTGGATCCTGTCACGTGATTTCCTGAGCAGACTGTCAAAGGCATTTGGCAGAATGCCTCATCGCCAAAACTTTCTAACAAGCACCAAAACATTGCTTGGCTGGTGGTAAGAAGGGCACTACCTGTGAGATCCTTTATGTATGCTCGGTCGGTCTGGACCACTGCAAACTGCCCTTGAAGTGGCTGGGGGTGTGTTGAGATTGTCACACATTTCCTTCTGGAATGTGCCTTTGAAAAGGAAGTCTGGAGGAAGATGCAATGGTTTGTGTCGAGGTTCGTCCTGAGCAGCTCCATGACATGGGATTTTGTGCTCTATGATCTGTTCCCCGGGACGCACACAGAGACAAACATCAACTGTGCCTGGAAGACCATCAACTCGGTGAAAGACACTCTTTGGTCTGCCCAAAATTTGTTGGTCTTCCAGAACAAGGCATTGCCTGACTGAATGTTGCAGACTGGCACATTCCAAGGTCCAGAACTACATGCTGAGGGACGCACTAAAGCTTGGGGCATCTGCCGCCAAGGCGCAGTGGGGAAAGACCACTGTTTGAGATCTTCCTGCTGAAGTTAAATGGTGGTCTGTTAGTTTTCGGACCCTCCTAGTGCCTCAAATATATGTAAATATTAGTACTGTATGTGTAAGAGAGGTCTTTGGATTTTTGTGATTGAGTCAAAGTCCAATGTTTTGCTTAGTTACTTGATATGCAACTGTACAGTACCAAATTGCTTTTGTGACAATGTATATATATAAAGAGATTTTTTAATGAATAAAGTATACTTTTGAAATAAAAAAAAATCTTGTGGGGACATGCAGGTGTGGGGACAGCATTTATAAGAATCACCCTTTTAGTTACAGAGATGAAAAACAAGGACCTAGTTGCTATCTCAACCAGAACTCTGAAAGTGCATATGGACAAGTATGGATTAATTAAGGAAAGTCAACAAGACTTGTTATATTTTGTTTAATTAAACTGATTGGGTTATTTGATGAAGTAACAGAGATGGTTGATGACGACTCATTGTGTACTTTAGAACTTCAGAAGCTGTTTTATAAGGTACTACATTTTAGCCTTGTGAACAAGGCTGCAAGGACACAAAGTTGGCTGAGTGACAGGAAACAAAGCAAAGTGGTGAAAACAAAATTGCTGGAAATCACAGCGGGTCAGACAGCATCTGTGCAGAGACAGCACGCTAACATTTTGACTCTAAATGATTCTTCATCAGAGCTTTTTGTTTTCAGTACAGATCTAGAATCTGCAGTAATTTACTTATACAAAGCACAATGGTGAATTGTTATTTATGGAGGATGCAGAAAAGGTTTACCAGACTAGCTCCAGAGATGAGGAACTTCAAATATATGGATAGATTTGGAGGAGTGGTCCTGTTCTCCTTAGGGACGAAAGGTTGAGAGAAGTGGTCAAAATCACGAGGCATCAAGACGAAGTGGGTTAGAAGTTTTCATTGGTGAAAAGGTCAAGTATCAGAGGACAGTGATTTAAGATGAATGGAAACATGAAGAAAAATCTTTTGACAAAGCAGGCGGTTAAGATCATCTGAAACATTGAGGACTGTCAAATGTGCCGTCAAAAGGAAGTTGGATAAGCATCTGAACAGGACTAATTTGTAGGGCTATGGAAATGGGTAGAGTTTTGGGGCTAGCTGGGAAGCTTTTTCAGAGAGGCAGCATGGACATAATGTATCAAATGTCCTTCTTTGCACCAAAACTGTACTATGATTCTATTTTATGACTTCTTAAAAATAAAAACAGAAAGAAACTGACCTTTTCATCTAGATCATCATCGCTCTCATAATCATCATCCTGTCCCAGTCGCCACTCATACTCCACATTAGTATGGAGATTAAACCGGTTTAGTTTTGCCTGAGTCAGCTTTCAACAAATAAAGAAAGATTAGGAATGTTAGACAATTAATATTTTAGAGCATCAAGGAAGAAATAAATCTAACAAATAAATAAATATTGTTTCATAATCATACCCCCCCCACCTCAATTTTCTCCTTTGCAGCTGAAAGCAATGATGAAGAATGGTGTGTTCCATTAAACATAAGCCCTTTGTTTACATGCCATTGAATATTTCTCAGTTGTGCATCTGAAAAACCATTTTTCCTGGATTATATGACTGCGGAGGCCACTGATGGACTAAGAGTGCTGGATTATTAAAGGTGTCATCTTTTGAATGATATATTAAACAGAGGATCATTATTCCCTCTCAGGTGAACTATTTCAAACAAAAATTAGGGGAACACTCCCTGGTGCCCTTGTCAATGTTTATCCTTCAACAAACATTATGAAAGAATAGTTTCTCTGATTGTTATCACATTGCTCTTCGAGGGACTAGCTGCTGCTGACTTCGCTACATTACAATAGTGACTTTCGTTCTCTCTTCCTGTTCTCTCTACTCACCCGCCCTGCTACAGAACTATTCACACTTCAAAAGGCAGTTTGCTGTATGAAGCAATCTCAAGTGTTTTTAAACATATTTAGTTTGTTTATATACAATAAATAAAAATAATACTCCGATTATTTTCATCAATTCACTTCAATCAAGGTGATAAATAGTTTGAAAAAAAGACACTATTTTCAATGGCAAATATGTGGTCTAAAGAGCAGATCAACAAACTCAATTCTTTTAATTCTGTTTAATTCTAGCATTGTCTCATATGATGTATAAATAAGCCAGAAAATCAAATTAAAATCTGCCACAAATTCAGAACATTCCCTAAACAATCTAGAAACTGGTTTTCACCATTTATCAATATTAACAGAGGCAACAATTTCTTGTCATCAGTTCTATTAACTAGCTAGTCACAATCAACAACTGGTTGATATATTCTCAGTCTTGCTTTGCATCTCAGTTCTAAGAGGTGGTTATAATAAGGAAGCTGGTTCTTGACTGAACTACAAACTGATTATTATACAGCCAGTCCTTGCAAATTGAGTGATTAAAGATTCCTGAACTTGTCAATATCTTACCAGTTCTTCACAGTATTGGTGTTTCAGTCTATGAGCTATGTCCATAGCTGTTTCTCCATCTTCATTTACTGTCAAAAATGAAAAACAAAATTTCAAGCAACGATTTTAAGTCAAATTTTGTCAAGTAAAGTTTATCAACTTTGAATGGTGGAAATATGAAAAAAAGTTGCATTGCAACAAACCCATGCTGGCAAGAGGAACTTTCAGAATACTTATTAGTGAAGCAGCAAATGCTGCGGGCTTGAAATCACCTTGCTTGATGCTGCTTTAAGTGGCTCCATGGAAGCCCAGCACTAGGCTGTCAACCATTTACTGTACTCTGCACGGCGTTCTACGAGAGAAAGGTGCATACACGGATGTCCTCAACATACCTCAGTAGTCTTTCAATTACGGAGTCCAAGCAGCTGACATGATGCCAGGATCCTTAAATTAGGCAAGCACAAGTCCTGCACAGAATTCAGTGATTACCCTGCAGACAAGTTCCCTCCAAGCCACTTATCATCTTGACTTGGAAATATATCGCGGTTCCTTCAGCATTGTTGGATCAGAATCTGGAAATCCCCCCTAACGCATTGTGGGTCTACCTACTGCACATGGTCTGCCGTAGTTTAAAAAGGCAACTCAGGACCACTTTCTCAAGGGCAAGTAGGGAACGGGCAATAAACTCTGGCCAGCCAGTCATGCCCATATCTCACAAGTGAATTAAAAAAATTAAATAAACAAGTGCTCTGTTGCAAGATGGGTCCTGCATAAGTGTTTCATAAAGGTACTCTATACAGGCATCCAAATTCTAATGAAAGAGATTTTTAAGAACTTTTTCTCTCACCAAATGTCTGGAAGTATTCTGCAGTGTTACTGTACGCGTTGTGGTGAGTTCCTTGATTTGCCAATGACTGCTTGCTGTATCCTCTCAAGGGCACAGGAGGAGGTGACCTGTCCATCTTAAGTCTGCAACAGATCCAGCAGCATCAGTGGCATCACCTCTGAATCCACTGCACAACATGGAGATCCAACTCCACACCATACCTGACACTAACCTGGAGCTGACAGTGACAGGAGGCAGCCTGACAGACTAGCCAAGGTACTCAGTGACCCAGTGATTTTAGGCTATTGCTGCTTCTGTTTGAAATAGAAATAATGGAGTGAGTTATACTGGAGAGGTTGCAATTAAGCTCCCCAACATGTGCAATTGACTGCAATCATTGTTAGGCACCCAAGTTTCTGACTGCAAATGATGAGAACTACAACCTGTGATGATGCCTGAAACTCTTTACTTTCAAATTATTAAATAGGTTGTTTTGGTGAGAGATTCTGGACAATATTCCACTGAATTGACAGTTGTAGTACTTACAAATAGTTGTATTGGTCTTGGCTCTCAGGAGTAGTTTGAGGCATTCTGGTTTATTGAATATACAGGAGTAATGAACAGCTGTATTTCCTTTAATGGTTTGCTTGCTAAGGTTCCCACTAGAATGTATATATAAAAAATAATCAGTCACACAATTTATAATAAGTATAGGTTGTTTACTCTCCCAAAACATAGACAAAACTAGGACATTGATAAGGATCACACTTGACTTTCCTGTGTTCTCGGGCAGTACCTACAATTAGTAGAAGCAAGTTCAAATTGTCTGCATTATAATTTATTGCAAGAAGTAAATGAAGTTAAGTCTTTGACTGGATTCAGCTTCTTGTCAGTGCACAGTTTTGCTGTACTGGACTACTTTCTGGAAATGTACTTGGACATTCTTTCCGTCCTTCCTCCCCATAGATTAGTGGATATGCTGTTCGAATTCAAGCCAAGGCAACTGAATCAGTTGGTTTTCTCATTTGAAATGAGCTCCAAAATGAGAACACATAATCTTTAACAAATACTTTTGATACATTCAGCACTGTCATGAAGCTGAAGGGGGAGTAGGACAGATATTGGCAGATAATCTGAACAAAAGGCAGGCTAGACATTGGGCTAGGTTTTCTTGTCCTGATACAGGGCTGAAGTGTGATGTGTGGGTTTTAAACAGGGCATGTGGGTCCAGCAATTTTCATCAGCACAGCTTAAGGAGGCAGGTAGAAAGTCTGCATGTCTCAATGTTGCTGGCAACAGTGCACAAGTAGGCATTTCAGACTTCCATAATTTTCGTGCAGCTGGGACAGGTTTGGAAGGTGACAAGAATTATACCACAGAGGATTTGTGAATCATGGGAGATAAGTCAAATTTACAACAATAATACCTGGACTTCAGGGGTTAAGTTCTCAGGAGAGATTATACAAATTAGTTCAGTTTTCTCTAGAAATTAGAAGGTTAAGGGGTGATCTGATCAAAGTCTTCAAGATATTAACAGGAAAATTAAGGGTAGATAAACTACTTCCACTGGTTTTGGATTCTAAAACTAGCAGCATAGTCTGAGAATTAGAGCCAGACCATTCAAGACAGATATGAGGAAGCATTTGAATACACAAAGGGTGGTAGATGTTTGGAACTCTCTTTGGAACAATCAGCAGTGGATACTGTACCAACTGTTAATTTTAAATTAAAGATAGATAAATTTTTGTTGAGCAAAAGTATTAAGGGGTATGGCCCAAAGGCAGATACATGGAGTTAGGCCATTTTTTGCCTTCATTTCACAGAATTTCACTAACAGGTTTGAGGGGTTGAATTGCCTACTGCTGTTCCTATATTCTATAGTATGGGGAAGAAAGCAGAACAGGATTTGATTTGAATGATCAGCCATGATCACATTGAATGACAGAGCAAGTTAAAAGGGCTGAATGGCTTAATGCTGCTCCTATTTTCTATGCTAAAGTCAGGAACAGTATTAAAGGAAATAAAGGCAAAAGAGTGCAGCTCCTGGAAATCTGAAACATATACAGAAAAACTGGAGAAACTTAGCAGGGCCAGGCAGCATCTATGGCAAGAGAAACGGAGCTAATATTTCGAACCTGATATGACATGAGGGCTGATAAAATGCCCCAGGTTACTACCACTGATTAAGATTTTTATTTAGGCATTAGACAGGCAGATAAGTTTTCCAAATCCAGTGTAGTCCTTCCTCAAAAATATGTCGGCTGGGGTAATCAGGTCTTGGCATCTATTTTAACTCAGGCCAGAATGGAAAGTTGATGCTAAAGCTTGAAAGAGGGATGCAATACCACTGCTCTTGCAAACATTTAGCCCATATGACATTTACAAACAAACTGAATCTTCTACTTGGCATTGCACACTAACCTTGCTATTGTTAAGCTGAATAGGGAAAGTGCTTATGAAACAAGCACGTGAGTTTTACTGCAAGCAGTTATTACTATTCTAAGTGTATAAGTAAATGTGACAAATGTATGAATTGTAACGTACCAGTTTTGCACAAGAAAGTCCACAATGTGTAGGGAGGTGAGATCAGCAAGCTGTACAGCAAGGTGAAGAGCAGTCTCTCCTGTTTCCTGCCAATCAGATACAAATATACAAAGGATTATTTAAAATACAAGAGAGAGTGCAACTAATGTCATTGTAAATTATTCATTATTTTTAATTCTTTTTCTTTGCCTTCAATCATCAAATCTATAATGTTGTGTGGATTATTCATGCTCACCAAGGTAAAGAATTTTAGCTTTGATAAATAGAACACTTTCTGACATATTGATCCAGTATCAATATCAAGTACTTTCAAGAAGTTGCAAACTCACATTTCTTCTGTTGATTCTATTCCCTTTGCCGGCTTTAATACAAGTTATTCAACTTAGGTTGTCAAACTACAGTTAGGTGCACTGAAAACAAAAAATGCTGGAGATCTCAGCAGGTCAGGCAAAATCCATGGAGAGAAAGCAAGCTAACATTTCCAGTCTAGATGACTCTTCATGGATGCTGCCTGACCTGCTGTGATCTCAAGCATTTTTTGTTTTCAGTTCAGATTCCAGCATCTGCAGTAATTTGCTCCTACAGTTAGTTGCATGTTCTGAGTCAATGCCCACTGAGAGCTGGTTGAAACTTGCCAGTCCAGCTACTTATGTATTACTCAACCGTAAACAAAAGGACTTTTATTTTAACTGCAGAATGTAGATTCAAACCAAGGAGTGATGTAAAGGAGCACACAATTATACTGACTTCCATCAGGAAGAGGAGTCACAAATATTAGTCAGATATAAACATTTTATGATCTGTGGAATAGGCCTAATGTACGTGAAAAATGCCCCCGTAGTACTGTGGGATTTTTTTTAAAGTCAACTGGGGACATAGGCTTCTCTGGTTCTCTGTAATGTGATGATACAATGACTTTAAGAGGTGCATTTTGTCCTGGTTTTTTTTTATGAAGAAGCATTGAGACAGAGATGAAGGATGGTCTGTACCAAGCCAATATAGTAAACAGCTTGTGAGGCCTTGGAGTTTTTTTTTAAAAATTGGAACAGTAAAGGTTACATGAATAGGTGGAGTCAGGCTCCCATAGACGCAAAATTTCAGTAGTTGTTCGGGTTTTGAAGCTGCCATAAATCTCTCTCTGCTACAGCAAAATGCTTGAGTTCTTTCTCTCTCTGCCAGAATTTTCTTTTGATGTTCCTTCCTTCTGGACTGGAGGAACATTGCATGTGAGGCAATTTATTTCTGCTGAATTTACCTTTGCCAAGGGTGTGTTTATAAGATGTTATTTTTTGGAACACTTGCTGTTTAGTACTTAAATAATCTATTATTCTGTTAAGTTTTCCAATAGAGTTAAAGCTAGTGGATGCTGGAAATCAGATACAAAATCAGAAATTGCTGGAAAAACTCAGCGGGTCTGGCAGGATCTTTGGAGAGAAATCAGAGTTAACATTTCATCTCAGATGACCCTTCTTCAGAACTGATGGTAGCTATAAAAAAGTATTTTATGCAGAAGATAGGGTAAGGGAGGGGGTAAGGAATAAATGACAGATAGTGATACAGCTCAAAGAGAGAGAAGAACAGTTGGACAAAGGAGTGGATAATGGTCAGCCTTGGAAAATGAATAGCTGCTAATGGGGACTATTAGTGTCTAACAATGGGTAGTATATAATAGCAGATCATGTGATAACAAAGCCTGGTGTGTGGGGGTTGGGTTAAGGACATGACAGAAGTTGCCTCAAGCCCTAAAACTGTTGAACTCAATATTGATGATAACAAGGTGTAGAGCTGGATGAACACAGCAGGCCAAGCAGCATCAGAGGGCAGGAATGCTGACGTTTTGGGCCTAGACCCTTCTTCAGAAATGGGGGAGGGGAAGGAGTTTCTGAAATAAATAGGGAGAGAGGGGGAGGTGGATAGAAGATGGATAGAGGAGAAGATATCCATCTTTTATCCACTTCCCCCTCTCTCCCTATATATTTCAGAAACCCCTTCCCCTCTCCCATTTCTGAAGAAGGGTCTAGGCCCGAAATGTTAGCCTTCCTGCTCCTCTGATGCTGTTTGGCCTGCTGTGTTCATCCAGCTCTACACCTTGTTATCTCAGATTCTCTAGCATCTGCAGTTCCTACTATCTCTGAACTCAATATTGAGTCCAGAAAGCTATGGAATTCCCAAGCAGAAAATGAGGTGCTGTTCTTCCAGCTTGCACTGAGCTTCACTGGAGCACCACAGCAAACCTAAGAAAATGATGACAGCCAGGGAACAACACACTCCAATACACCACCTTGTTCTCTGGCAGACATCACTGTCTCAGGCTTGCTGCAATGCTCCAGTGAAGCTCAATGCAAGCTGAAGAACAGCACCTCATTTTCTGTTTGGGAACTCCACAGCTTTCTGGACTCGATGTCCAGTTCAAAAATTTTAAGGCTTGAGGCAGCTTCTTCCATGTCCTTACCTCATCACAACCTTTTCCTAGTAACCATCAGTTCTGAAGGGTCACCTGACCCAAAACATTAACTCTGATGTCTTTCCGCAGATGCTGCCAGACCTGCTGAGCTTTTCCAGATTTTCTGTTTTTGTTTAAGAATAAAGTGTGTTTTGCTTAAAGCCGAGTAGCGTAACCAATTTAATCACACCTGGAACACAGCACCTTACACTTTAAAAAAGAAATAGGGTCTAGCTAGCTCCTTGATATATTTGAAGGGGGTTTGGTCTGGTTCATAATAGTAAAGAGAAAGCAGAGTAAACGTTTTGAGCCCAATGACCCTTTCAAAATTGAAATGTTAACTTTGCTGTCTCTCCACCTGCTGAGTTTCACCAGCAAGTTGTTATTGTTTCAGATTTCCAGCATCTGCAGTTCTTTGTTTTATTCATGTATTGCTCATCTCTAGTTGCCCTTGAACTTCATGAACTGCTGCAGTCAATGCGCTGTAGACAGAGCACAATGCTGAAAGGGAGAGACTTCCAGGGTTTTGACCCAGTGATGGTAAAGGAACAGCTTATGAGGCCATTTTGGTTCAGCATTGAGAACATCGTTGTGGTTTGATAGGCCTGACTAGATAAGGATGGCATACTTCCTTCCCTAAAGGGCAATAGTGAATCAGCTTGGTTTTTACAACAATCAATAGCAGTTGTCACGATCACCCTCAATCAACCTAGGTTTCAACTACAGGTTTAATAAGACTGAATTCAAATTCCACCAGCTGCCGTAGTGGTATTTGAACCCATGTCCCCCAGTATTAACCTGGGCACTAGACTAGTTACATTGCCACAATACCACTATCTCCCCATAAACTGTTTCAAACTGACTGTCTGCTGGCTGGGAAATAAAGATATACATCTTAAACGAGGTTCTGCCATTAAATTCACCAGAGACTTTAAGTTAGGATATTTTCAGCACACTCCACCAACCGCACACCCACTACAAATGTCAGGGCCAAAGTCACATGCGTCGGTGTGGGAGAACGTTAAAGATCCCCAAAACATGATTCAAAGTGCAGGAACACCTCTGTGACCTGAACAACATTCCCCCACAACTACCATCACAGAAAAACAAATTTTAACCACCCAGTCATCTCATTCCTGTTTGCTGATTATTGCTATGTTTGTCTATATAACAATACTTATTGCACTAGCAAATACCATGATATGTGAATAAGTTTGAGAAAATCTCCAAAACTTAAGAAAGCACAATACAAATGGAAGTTTATTTTCTTTCAGCAAACTAAAGTCAGTTTGGTCTGACCAGTGCCACTCTTACCTCTGCATAAGATGGCAGTGATTCACTAAGGTTGACTTTTTCAGCATAGGCCTGTATCAATGCAAATATATCCTTGCATTTTACAGCAGTATACAAATTATTCAACTTTGTCACAGAAGTACTATTGTTCTTTTTTGCATATTGACGATCTATGTATTTTGATATGATGTAATCTTTCCGCATTGCCCTTTAAAATAACAAAATATGTCAATCAGTTTAGATTTAAGTAAAATAATGTCCAAATGAAAGACTACTGTGGATGTGCCCTGTTGTAAAAAAGAAAAATTGTAACTAAAATAAAGATAAAATGAATGCAGTGAGAAATAGAATAATGCCAGTTTGCACCTTGAAATTCTCACATATGAAGTTCCAAGTTTAACTACAGGCAAATTAAGAGGTGCAAGACATGTATTAGCCCTCAGAAAGAGAACTAAACATTGAAGGTTACACAGTACACAGTCATATCTTGGGCTAGTTATGGAAAATTATTGGCAGAAAGAAACATTGATGCACATATTGGAGACCTAAAGAATGTAGCAATTTCAAAATCATTTTGACTAACATGCATCTTAAATATTTTTTATTCTTGCCATATAGCATATATGTTGCATTCTTTTCCATAAAATAAATTTATAGCCTTTACTGACTAGAAATGTTTGTAATCATGCAAATCAGGATCACCATGACGAGCAATGTTCCGTTTGTGGGGTACTGCTGGTACAGAATATCAACATTTTTTTGGAGATGTAGGTATCACACTCATAAGGACTTATGAGCAGTTGCCCTTGAGAAGATTGTGCTCACTAGGCTCAAATATATATTTTTAAATTCATTCATAAGATGTATGAATCACTGGCTAGGCCCCTATTTATTGCTCATCTCTACTTGCCCAGAGAGCAGTTGAGGGTCAACCACATTGCTGTGGGTCTTGAGTCCCATGTTGGCCAGACCAGGCAAGGATGGCAGTTTCCTTCCCTAAAGTACATTACTGAACCAGATGGCTTTTTCTTGACAATTGACAGTGGTCTATATTAGACTTCTTCTATTTTTCTGTATAAATATATATTTCTATATTAGACTAATTCCAGAGTTTTATTGAATTCAAATTCCACTTTCTGCAGGATTTGAACCCAGGTTCCCAGAACATTGCCTGGGTATCCAGGTTAATAGTCTAGCCATTATACCTCTAGGTCATCACATCCTCTCGAGTTGATTTAGGAGCAAAAGCAGGAATGAAAATAATTATAACAGACAAATCATATGTAAGAGCAGTCCATTACTACCACTCTGTGGTGAGTCAATGTGAAGTTCCAGCATACGTCAGAGCATAATGAGCATACATCGGAAATACTCATTAAAAAAAAAACTACTGAATTATCAATGTTTCAGAGATAGTAGGAACTGCAGATGCTGGAGAATCCGAGACAACAAGGTGCAGGGCTGGATGAAGGGTCTAGGCCCGAAACGTCAGCCTCTCTGCTCCTATGATGCTGCTTGGCCTGCTGTGTTCATCCAGCCCTGCACCTTGTTGTCTCAGAGTCAATTACATTGTTTTGGCTCCAGAGTCACTTATAGGACAGACTAGATAAGAATGACATTCCCTCCCTAAAGGGTATTGAATGAGTGAACCAGATGGGTTTTTAAAATACTATTCAACAGTGATTGCATGGTTGAATGTTATATTTCTTTTGTCTGAGTCTGAGTTGCAAAGAGTTTCTCTGGAGAGTTTCTCACTGCGAAACCTAGTGAATTTTCCTACCCTATCTTACTAAATTTGCCTCAGTAATTGTCTGGTATCCTTCTATGGCATCTTTCACATCCAATCTCCTCCCTATCTCACCACACGCAGTTCCTGGAAAACTCACCACTCAGCGAATATCCTGGAATTCATGGGCATCTCTTGCTCCCATGCCATCATAAAAGCATGCAGTGCAGCTGACAGACACTGTTGGCCTGGAGCTGCCCTGCACAGTTCCTGATATTTGCCATGGACATGGCAGGCAGGAAGAATTCACTACCCTATGATGTGGAAAGGATGCAGGAGATCCTGCTGGATGGGGTGGGATTTCCTCTTGCCCCAGGACTAACCGTAGAGACAAGTAGAGGTGGGGAGGCAGTGGCCTAGTGGTATTATGGATGAACTGTTAATCCAGAGACCCGGATAAGATTCTGGGGACCTGGGTTCGAATTCTGCCACGGCAGATGGTGGAATTTGAATTCAATAAAATATCTGGAATTAAGAATCTAATGATGACCATGAATCCATTGTCAATTGTCGGGAAAAACCCATCTGGTTCACTAATGTCCTTTAGGGAAGAAAGCTGCCATCCTTACCTGGTCTGGCCTACATGTGACTCCAGATCCACAGCAATGTAGTTGACTCTGAACGGTCCTCTGGGCAATTAGGGATGCACAACAAATGCTGCCTGGCCAGCGACGTCCTCGTCCGGTTAATGAATAAAAAAAAATGACACCGGACCATGTCCACGTTTTCCACTCCTGTTAAAGCACACTCCGCCATCTGGAGGAATGTACAACATCGTAGGAAGCAGGTCAATGTCCTTCTCCATTCTACTAACGTAAATGTCATCATCTTCTCTCCAATGAATTAGACTCACTCTATTTCTGCAACTATACCCACCTCCCACTAAGCTTCATGTTCGACCACACTCATTATTGCTTGCAACATTTTCTCTCACTTGCCATCATCAACCTCAACCCCCTAACCACTAACCCCGGCATGCCCTCTGCAATGCCTATTCACTCAGTCAGAAAATGTGGCAGAAGTAATAGCTGCACCACCCACTTTAGTCTTTTGTATTACATTCCTCTCTCATTCAATGAGGAAAATTGGCCACAATAAAGCTAAAGACTCAAGACAAATGATATCCTGCCGATCATTCAGCTCCTCATCCTTTATGAGAGGTTCCTGACACTGACTGCCTCGATCAGGGCCTGGGATGGTGTTGGAGGCTGCCCTTGACTTACTGTGCAGGAAACGCTAAGCAAAAGACTGCTGTCAAAAGTGACAAGCTCCTTGGCTTTGAGTCTATGCTAAACAGCAAGACAAGTTGACTGCAATATGAGCTTGGTATTGCTGGTTGAGGGGGCAAAGTGCAAAAAGGCAAGTCAAAGTAATGCAGCACAGGGATGCTTTGAGCATCCAGGTAGGGTCAAAGTGAATGAGTGCTAGGACAGCATTCAGTACATGAGCGTTCAGTACAGCGTGTCCCTGAGCACAAAGTGTCCTTGCTGTAGAGGTAGAATGATACTTGACAGTGCAGCCTATGATACAGTAATGAAGTGTAGAAGTAACCTATAAGTAAATCGGAGATGTGCCAAGATATGTCTTAAAGGCTGTCACATGTGATACACCAATGTAGTAGACATAAGGTGCATATGGCTGATGCCTGTTGTGTGTCCTGAGATATTGGTGCCTGGGTTCAAACATGGAGATTGCTCTGAACAATTAACTAGCTGAATCTGCCAGGTGCTTGTTCTGTTTTCTTTGTTGAGTTTTCTCGACATCCAGCTTATGTGATGAGTTTGGGTAAAAGGGGTCTTAATATTAATAAGGCAAGCTGTGATATTAACAAGGCAATTAATAATCAATTGTGACCGTCAATTGGAATCTCATTACTCCCTAGTGAGAATCTTGCCATGTGAAAATCATAAAATGTGGAACAAGGTGGTGGCAAAACTGAAATGGGCCTTGCCTCACTTGTCACCTTATTTAGCCACACATCTTGCCTTAGGCCACCTTGCTCAAACTAATAAGATTCTGCTCATCGTCGCCATTTGATTTGCTTTTAATTTCAGATTTTTATTCAAGTCAAACTTATCCATCTTCTATGGTAGGATTTGAACACATGTCTCAGCAGATTAGCCCGGGGTTCTGGATTACCACTCCATTGGCACTACCACTATGCCACTTTGTAATTAATTGGCCGCTTAAGGGCCTCAGCTCACCACCTCACTGATAATCTGCCTTACTAGCAGACGAGAATGGTGGCTAGTTTCCCAGTTGGGAATGAATCAATCTCAGGGTAATTGGAACCATTGGGGGAAAGGGGGTGGCCTCCAAAAGCCACCTCGTTCCTTTGGCTCCAACACCCTCGACCCTCGTCATGTGACCCTAATTCTATGGGAAGAGTATTAACACTACTTAACTTTTTGCCACTGTCCCTCTGAGCAGTGAGCTTCAACCAGAGGAGTTTTGGATTCAGAGGCTGCAGGCCTCTGACTGGCCATCATCTTGTTGCAACCCAAGATGCCAGTGGCTTCACCTGTGATTCGCCGATAAATCCGCTGATGTTTACCAGTCAGCTTTCAGTGGGCTGATTGGCAGGTTTTCTCAGTTTGAGGGCAGTGAAATAGTTGCCAGCTAATGCACTCACCCCAAACTTAAAAATAGAAAAATTCTGGCATATACAATGGACAATTCTGTGTCTGTCCCTTGTATTTGCACTGTGAATCAGCAGGTCACAAAGCCAGTTTGCAACATCTTCCTCCTCCCTTGGCTCTTCTGTATATCTTACAGGCTGTGCAGACTTGGTTAGGGGAGGAAAGGGTCAAAAATATGAGCAATTTGCATGTTGTATAATTGTAATTCTGGTGTAAATAAGCAGTGTCACGACTAGACCAAAAAAGTTAACTCTGCTTTCTTTCCACAGATGCTCTCAGACCTGCTGAGTTCTCTAGCAATTTTTGCTTTCATTTCAGATTTCAAAATCCACAGTTCAATAGTAAGCAGCTGTTGCTCTTAGTTGAAGGCACACTAATGAAGGAACATAATTTTAAGATGAAGGGCATGAGGTTTAGAGGAGATTTGAGGAAAAATGTTTTCACCCAGAGGGTGATGAGCATCTGGAATGCATTGCCTGGGAGTGTAGTAGAGGCAGGAAACTTCACAACCTTTAAAAATGACTTGGATGAATACTTGAAATGGCATAAATTCAACCTATGGGTAAAGTGCTGGAAGGTGGGATTAGTGTAGATAGCTTGATGAAGATCAATGGGCCATAGAACCTCTTCTTGCTGTTTTGACTCTGACTATGAACTGAAGAATTTTACCAAAAGTTTGTTTAGCCTATATAACTGATTCTATTGTTTAAACCTGTCTTTAGGCCCTATCCAGACTGTTATCATCTCATTGGAACCAACTAATAATCCACAATCACTTGTTGCTAGGGCATTGTAGATATCAATTACACAGGAAACAGGCTTGGATATCATAGAAAATGATAAGTCAGGAGCTTCTACTGAGGCAACTACTGTACAGGTACAAGAACAAATACTGAAGGAATGCATTTAGTGATACTCTTGAATGAGTTAGTATCAGTGTCTTAGAATTTTCTTTACAGTGTACAATTTCCCGTTGGTTTTTACTCACATGGGACTGTCAGTTGTTGGTTTAACTGATAAATTTGGGAGAGTAGCCTCCATAAGTTCATTAAATCTGGAGTTTCCAACATTTTTTACAACCTGGAAGACAAATACATACATCAAAAATAGAATCCCTCTTCAAAAATCATGAAGTGACCCTTCCTTTATTGGAAGACCAAAAAAAACAAGTTATTACCTATTCAAGATAATGTTATGAATTTGATGTGGTAAATGTGGTAAAATCTTGATAAATTTGCATCCCTGGGTGAAATCTAGGCTGGACGGTAGGGAGACAACTTTATTTGGTGAATTGGTGGAATATCAGGACTCTCTGTATTTCTGCCTCCACTGGAATTAAGTTCTGTGTGGGAAGATTCTCTGCATGATCTTCCTATCCTGCCACCAATTAAGGCCCTTAAGTGGTCAAGTGATGATCTGCCAGGGATTGCTTTAGGGCATATTCCCAATTTATGCCAGCACCACCAATTGGAAACTTTATCCACTCACCACTATGTTAGCATGGAGCTCATGCAGAGCATTTATAGCCCCATTTAGGTCCAGTCAAAAGCTCCTCTATGCGATATCAATTGTCTAGCTTAGTCCCCATTTTTAAGAAATATCTATGTTTCACTATGATTACTTTTCCATTTTCCACAGGAACCATCCTTATAGCCCGAAGCAGACTGTCAACCTGTGTCAAATTACGATTAATTTGTGTATTTTAGATTGTCAATGACTTAAACTTGGTTGAGACCACCTAAACTCATTTCACATAGGAACACTCATGCCATCAATCACATCTGGATGTAAATAGGGATCCCTGAAGCTAAAGTAGAGTTCATTTCACTGCATTATCATCTTAGTTTTGGTGATAAATACTCTGCCAATTTCAAAATGAATGTGAAATTGTCTGCAGTTTTAAGTTATTAGAAAACACATTTATTACAAATGATCTCAGGTTTGATAATAAACTGAAATAAATTGTAGCTACCATTTTGGAGAGAGCAAAGAAGAATAGAATATCAAAGTCAGGACTTGATGATTTTCAGGTCTCAATTCAACACCATATTTCTGTCATCTATGAAATGCAATCTTCAAATGTTGTTGCCCTAACTGGTCAGGTGCTGGGTTCGATCTCGAACTAGTGGTGCTGAGCTCTCCCCGGAGGTGGGAGCTACCAGCTGAGCACATCAACCATAGGGAACAACCGCAATGGGTCCTGCCCACTACCTTGCTGAAAAGAAGAGATAACATATCGGATGGCTAGAAGCCTCACCATACAAAAGTGGCCATTATGGTCAAATAAAAAGGTATTATGCTCATTCCACAACAAAACACTCTACTGCCAAGAAACTTTTATAATTTAAAAAATACCATGTGCACTAACGAGCATCATAGATTACAGATTGGTGATTTGTAAAGGCTGATGCTCCCCAGCCTGGTAACAAACACCCCCAGGAGTTTAATGGGTTGTTAACTGGAGGCAAGCAGGTTTCCAACTTCACTAGCTTCCTGCCCGTGCTTTATTCCAGTGCATCCCAGAGGCACCAGCACACTGACACCAACCAGGAGTGCAATTGTCAAGCGTAGCCGCTTGTCTGCTCACCCCGATGTGTGATTGAACGTCCAAACTCAAAGTAGAAAATTCTGTAGATGAATAGCAAAACATTTACTTCCTAACTGATGAAAGGTTTTGCCAACATATTAAACTGTCTTTACTTGTAGATTTTGTGAAGCACTTCTTGACTAAAATTTGAAATATCATTCAATTTTTCAGTTGTCTATTTTAGGCTGTCTGGGAACGTTTTATAATTTAGGGGGAAAACAAAGTCCAGACACATACATTTTAAGGCACACTTTGAAAAGACCTTGGTATCACAAAGTATTTTGCATACTAGTTATTATCCACACCGATTGAAGTCCCTTTCCTCACAACTACCATTGAACTGAAATAGTTAGGAACTGTGGTGTCCTACTTATCAATGAACTCAGCTTCTGACCTCTTAATCTCTCTATCTTTGATGTCCAATTTCACCTCTGTGGTATCACCTGCCTTTGCCCTCAACTCATTTACTGCTGAAACAGTAATCATGCCTTTGTCACCCCCACAAATTTGACAATTTTAATACTCTCATGGTCAACAATCTATCCTTTACCATTTGTAAGCTTCAGCTCATTCAAACTGTTCTATCACAGCATCTGAAGAAAAAAAACATGACAATATGTAGACTATTGCTTAAGTTGAAAAAATCCATTAAGTGCCTTAAATCATTTCAAAGATATGATAGCATGTTACATAAATAAAGGCAATTCTTAAGTTTTTCCATCTAATGTCACTGCATATGCAATCCTGTGGCTCAGCATGCATCTGTTAATCTGTAACTCAACTTGTTAAACTGAAATCTCTACCCCAAATCTGATTCATTTTTCAACATACTGGGAACCAGGAAGGACATGCTTGAAAATCATTTTATGAAAGAAGATTCACATTAGTTCAACATTTAGATGTAATTTGACCTAAAAGGCCTTTGAGGATTGGAAGGTATTAGCATGGGGAATATCCAGGAAATGCATCAAATTTCTCTCAAATTATATCCTGGGAAGGGATAAAATTCCAAATACAATAGACAACAAAATTAACTCAAAATATTCTTTGATCCAGAGTAGTCAGCAAAAATGAAAGAAGACTGGCATTGTATTATGTTTGGATAAAATGCAAAAATCTTGATCAGCCACTTCTATGACTGACTGCATTTCATTTAGCAACAAGTAACATTTTGCTTGCTGAACCACCAATACATGTACATTTATTGCTGATCTTATAACATTTGAGATAAAGATGTCATTTTGTAGTAATTTAACGAGGTCAGCCAGATTAACCTGGACCAATCAGGGAGCCCTGGCTGACAGATATAAACAGGAATGTCACAGGTTCTGTTCACTCTGACAGCTGACACTGAGGAAGCCCCACCAGTGTCAAGTACTATGCATATGTAAATAAAGGGTGACTTGGTAACAGGATACTGGCCTATGTGGAGTTATTTCAATTTTAACACTGAAGACATATGTAGAGATAGGAGAGGTTGTTAAAACTTTAAAAATAGAAAATCTGGTGCCAACTTACCTCAAATGCAGCCACTTCAGGTTTTATAGGGCGCTTTTGTTTTATTTACTTGTGGGACATGGGCATCGCTACCTGGTCAGCATTTATTGCTTATCTTTAGTTGCCTTTAAGAAGTGGTGGTTGTATTAATTGTAATGAGGTCAGCCAGCTGGACATTATAGAGATAACAAGGTGTAGAGCTGGATGAACACAGCAGGCCA